TAGACAGGACAACGGCACCGCCCGCCTCCCTGGGACAGGCAGCGTGGCAGGAGGCACTTTGGGCTTTGTCCAAGCGCTCTGGGATCCATCCCTGGACCCCAAACACTGACTCTCTGGCCCAAGAGCTTGCTAACACCCCCCCGCCCCAGCAGACATCTCTGAGGCAGGCAGACGCTCTGCCAAGATGCAGGCACAGACTGGGTGCTGGAGAGCCCTGGGGTCAGATGCAACCTCCCCTTGCCCGGAGTCAGTTCCTGAGGAGCTCCACGGGCCGGGCCTGACCCCTCTTTAGGCACTTGATCTGCTGGTTGAATTCCGGTAAAGCAGGAGGGGGCAGGCCCTGCTGGGCGCTCCGGGGAGCCGGGGGCAGTGCAGGGTGCGCACGGGGCCCCAGCCCGCAGCATTTCTTCGGGGCTCCCGCACTGGCTCCTGGGGGAGGAGTGTTTGGCACATTTGGGGACCGCAGGGCAGTGCATGAAGTGGGGGGGGGATCAGGGACTGGGGAGGAGAGGGGCCGCCGGGTGCCTCACGGCTGGCACACCCGTTGCTGTAATGAATTGCATTGGTAAACATAGCATAGCAGACACTAGAACTGGCCAGGGTGCACCAGGCCATGGAGGGGGGAGACAAGCTATTTGGGGGGGGGAAACCGGCCATAGAGTGTGTGTGAGGGGGGATTGGGCAGGTCAGTGTGTGGGTGGGGGAGGAGAGGGAACAGGCTACAGTGTGTGGGTGTGGGGGGGATGGCCAGGCAATTTTGTGTGTGGGAGGGGGAAACAATTCACTATGGCATGGGGACACAGGACAGGCCATTGGGGCGGGGGGAAGGTAACGACAAGCCATAGCTTGTTGGGGGTGGGGGGACATAAGCCATTGGGTGCATGGGGGAGGCCATAGCGTGGGGGGGTGGCCAGGCCAAACACACCAGGGCCTGGGACTGCCCATGGGTGCTGGGGCTCCCTAGGGCCCGGGGTTTGGCTGGAGCAGGAGGGGCAGGAGCTGCGGCTCTCACAGCTGCCCAAGGGAGCCCCCTTGCTTGGGGCCCTTCCCTGTCCCTGGGGATCGCTGCTGGGTCCAATGAGGGGCGAGCAGCGCCATCAGGCCCCAGCCAGTCTTTCTCCAGCTGGCAGTGCCTGAGTGCTGCCCCTGCAGGTCATGGTCCAGACCCCCCCCCCAGGGC